TGGAGTGAAACATTATTGTTAACCAATTAAATAAACTTACAATAGTAAAATATTCATTAAAATAAATATCAATAGTGCAAACAGAGTAAACAAGGAATATTTGCAGAAATAAAATAACAATAATGCAAAATTATATTTCAATAAAATGTACTATATTTAATTGAATTGTGTAAATAGAGTCAATCAATAATATTAACAAATTAAAAGTTAAATAAAATGTGAACGGAGTAAACTATTAGTTTGAAGAAATGAGAAAAAAAAATACAATAAAATAAATATCAATAGTGTAGACAGAGTAAACCAGTAATATTGACAAATAAAATAACAATAATACAAAATGATATTGCAATAAAATTGACTATTTAATTTAATTCAAAGAAAAGTAGACCATTATCAAATAAAATAATTGGTAAAATACCATTGACAAGTAAAATAACAATAAATATAGTACATTTTATTGCAATATCATTTTGCATTATTGTTATTTTACTTGTCAATGGTATTTTACCAATTATTTTATTTGTTAATGGTCTACTTTTCTTTGAATTAAATTAAATATAGTACATTTTATTGCAATATCATTTTGCATTAATTTAATTCAAAGAAAAGTAGACCATTAACAAATAAAATAATTGGTAAAATACCATTGACAAGTAAAATAACAATAATGCAAAATGATATTGCAATAAAATGTACTATATTTATTGTTATTTTACTTGTCAATGTATATATATATATATATATATATATATATGATTGAATGTGCTAAGTGATAACAAATGTATCAATCAAGACACAGGCATGAGGCGACTCACTCACTGTCTCATCGTGTGACGTGTAAACACTAGTGTGCTGGTAGTCAGCAGTTTTCGTAGTGCCCTAGTAAGAGTTTCTCTTTGTGTCTTGTTCTCTAAAGCATCTCTCGTCGCTCACGGCTCGCTTTGTTCGCTCTCATTTACATTCTAGCAAGTCACCCTTAGACCAACAACGGCACAATGCAGCCTGCAGAGGGTCAAACACACACGAATACACACAAAACACACACACACACACACACACACACACACACCGCACTGCAATGTCACATATTCTAAAGATCAGGTTATCTAACAAAACTGAACACACACACTCGGTCAGGAACAAACACTGTCTTGGCAACGGTGCTGCACACGACCTTCTCAGAGAAACACAGGTATTTCAACACACACACTCTCACACTCACAGGTTTACATTTGTGAAAAGTGGGGACTCTCCATAGGTGTAATGGTTTTTATACTGTACAGACCGTATATTCTATTGCCCTACACCAACCCTACCCCTAAACCTACCCCTCACAGGAGACTTTGTGCTATTTCAGATTTTCAATACACTCCATTCTGTGTGATTTATAAGCGTTTTGAAGAGTGGGGACATGGGGTAATGTCCTGAAAAGTCACCTTCTCCTTGTAATACCTATGTCGTACCTTTGTCATTATACACATTTATGTCCTCATTTGTCACAAAAATGCATACACATTCACACACTGTAGACAAGCCAGATTCATTGCAGCAAACACATTAATCACCTCGTGGCCCAAACATCCTGAAGGATCTCCCATGCTGCACCAGTGTTTGTGCATTTTTCACCTGGGTGTTTGTGTTCTTGTTGCGTTTCTGGTTTGGTGAGTCCATTATTTCTGCTTGCCTGTCAGTGTGAAGAGTCCGCATGAAATGCATGTCACATCACGCATGTACATCTGTGTGTGTGTGTGTGTGTGTGTGTGAGTTTGCATGGACTCATGTTTGCCTGACCGTGAGACCTGCGCTTCAGCAAACAGTCGAGATTGAGTGTGATTGCAGAAAGTTGTGTAACTCTCTGTTTGGAGAAGTGTGCGGTTGTGTATCTGACTTTTGCTTATTTTGGCGAGTGAATGTGCAGGTGTGTTATGTGTGTTTGCAGTATAAGTGTGTGTGTGTGTGTGTGTGTGTGTGTGTGTGTGTGTTGATCAGTACAGTGAAGAGTGTTAGCATGCCGTTATTTAAGATTGATGCACGGATGGATGGATGGAAAAATACAAATTGTACAAAACGAAATTCGTTCCAAAAAAAAAAAAAGGATTCTTCAAACAAAATGTATGAAGTGGTCAAAAATTGTGTCTGACCCACTTCATTTCTCCCGGCGTACTGCCGTCCAATTTTACCACACCCTGATGTTTACAATTTTCTTTCTTAATTAACAGATTGAACTCAAACAAAACAAACACATATTTAAACATACTAATATAAAATAAAAATAAATTTTCTTAAATGGCTACAACAGATAGATAGACAGACAGACAGAGATGGATTAAAAGATACACAGACAGACAGACAGACATATAGATGAAGAAAATCTAGCAGAAAATAAAATGGAGTGATGGATGTTAAAGTAAAAGAGACAGGATAATAGGATAATATGGCTACAACAGATAGATAGACAGACAGACAGAGATGGATTAAAAGATACACAGACAGACAGACAGACATATAGATGAAGAAAATCTAGCAGAAAATAAAATGGAGTGATGGATGTTAAAGTAAAAGAGACAGGATAATAAAACAAAGAAGACAGAGAGAGAATAAAGGATGGAGAAAGAGCAGAGATGAAGAAGCAGAGAAGCTGACGAGAGAGAGAGAGAGATGACAGATCGCCTGAACGCTTGAGAGGGTGCATGTGTTCACTGCACTGGAATGATTGTGAGCAGTGAGGCGTCAGATGTGCAGCACTGTCACACACACACACACACACTCACACACACACTCACACACAGAGAGAACGCTTCATTAATGAATATTCGTGTCCGGCTGGCGTGCCGTTCATTGAGGTCTTTCAGTTTTACTTTCAGATTCTGTGTTTGACGGTAGTTTTTTTTTTTTCTCAAATAAAACTGCGTAAAACTGGTTAAGTGACTATCAGAGCAGCTCTGAAGATGAAGTTCATGTGTTCATATCCTCATATTGAGACACAGATGCTGAAATTCTCGCGAGCGTCACACTTGTTCGAGTTTGTGTATCAGACGAAACCACACCATTAATTTACAGAGAAACGCAGAATATAGCGACATTAGCTGGGTTTCCATCACCCGGCTTTTATGTGCGTTTTGAAGTATCAGAATCGAGAGATGGAAACGCTTGGAAAAACGCGATGGAAAAAAATTGCCTTAATTTGCAAAAAAGTTTTTATGCTCGCTTGAGGTGGTTTTTGACTTGTGCGAAAAAGGGTTAATGCGAATAATGGGAGATGGAAATGCATTTTGCGAATAAATTCCTCCACAAGCATTAAAAAAAGTAATGTGACTTTGCACTATGGGATGGCAAATCCTGACTAACCAGTGGACCGATCTTGTTCCACAGCATCTGAAATGTTGTTATATGGTAATTCGGAAATGCCCGAGCAAAGTCTGTCATCAAAGTATTTCTGTAGAATTGCCTCCCAGAACTGTTAAACCAGGGCTGCCCAAACTCAGTCCTGGAGGGCCGGTGTCCTGAAGAGTTTAGCTCCAACCCCAATTAAACACACCTGAACCAGCTAATCAAGCTCTTACTAGGCATACTAGAAACTTAAAGGCAGGTGTGTTGAGGCAAGTTGGAGCTAAACTCTGCAGGACACCGGCCCTCCAGGACCGAGTTTGGGCACCCCTGTCTTAAACGACTGCGTTCCCAAACAGCAGCATCCACCTCCGAAAGCAATGACCACATGCATTGCGTTTCGTCTGCTCGATCCGAGGTGCAAGCAATTTATTATATAGGAAAATTATTATATTCAGTAGCTTCTCCTACTTTTCTTAGTTATGTATAGTGCCAGTTTATCAGGAAGTGATGATTTTGTTCTCTTTGACTCGTTGGATGGAAATGGTGCTTGTTCGCAAATGTTTTGCGCGATATTCCAATTTTGCGCAGAAGTTAAATTCGCAACTTTGGATGGAAACCCGGCTATTGACTGCTGCTGCCGCCTTTATTTCTGCTGTGTGATTGGCTGTTAGATTAATCCAGATCAAGGAAAAATGTCCAGTTTATCATCATTCTCCACATATTTTATTGCGATCTCGATATACCATCCAGCTCTAGTTAGTTTATCCATCAGACTTATTTCACAAATTTTAATATTTACCCAACAAGTCACCCAGTAACAGCACAACCAAACACAAACTATTCTAAAAAATAATAACTATTATAATAACAAATTTGAAGTTTGTCCTGAAAGCAACTTTAAGACTGGTCCAATTTTATACAAGTAGTAAAAACACTGAATTGGTCGAGAATAGTAAAAAAAACAAAACAAACCGTCACTATAACCAACATTTTATTACAAACACCTACAGACTCAATCGGTGCTCGACCTCAAAATCATTAAATCAATTAAATACCATGGTAATCTTTTATCTCATACTGTGATACTGCCATAAACATTGAGTCGATGAGTTCACAGGCTCCTGAGGCCTAAACAGAAAATGTTATGAGCAGTTTGGGTTGCGTTTTAACATTCACAGAGTAACCTAAAAAAAAAAAAGAATATCAATCTCATTGTTGGAGAAGCTAAACTGAAATTCCAAGCATTTGCTACAGGCCTTAAAATGATGAGATTTCCTTTTGGACGACAGCAACACAAATTTACACCAAATATATGTAATAAATCATAAAAGCCCTAAAACCATCAGTGACGAACAGCAGTAATACAATCACCATTCATTGCATGAAGTGCAGCGACCGCAGTGAATGCTGTTGAATGACTCCAATGAATCAGTGTTTCTTTTAATTAGTTCATTGAAATGAAGCAAATTGTTTTGCTAACATAAATGAAGACATTTCAGAAAGGCATTTGATTAGACCATCTCAACTTGTGAGGCTGCAAGCATAATTAAAAGCAAAAAACATTGCATTTTGTCACTCTTCATGGCTACTTGTTGGAGAAAATAAAAAGCAGTTGAAGTAGTTTATCATCATGGCAGTTGTTCCAGATTCTTACAATAAGAGCCAACATGTCATGACCACTTGTAGTTTTATTGCAACTTATAACACAGATCAAACAAAAGACAAACAGAACGAATGGAAACAAAATGGCTACAAACACATTGTGTATTTACCAGAAGGAAACTCTCCTCTTAGTGTCACTGTACACAGACACAAACCGACAGGTAAAATGACGTTGACTGTACAATCACACTCTCAGTGACCACATATGGAATATAAAACAGTTCAATTCAATCAAACTGTATTTCTGTGAGGTTAAATAACAGAACGGGGCCACACTGGTCAAGACGAGTAACTCTACATTTATTCCCAAAACGAGTCCTAGAGGAACATTGCTGTGCCTGAGCCAGCGCACAGACAAGAACGAATGGGTTCAGTTCGTTAGGGTTTGGGGACTAAAGTCCGTCAAGAGATTTGGTACTCGGTTGGAGAACCATTTGGGACTCTTAATAAGCCAAAATAATCTAATCGACTTGTATGTGTTTGGGAAGACGGCGACAACGATCAACAGTGCATTTAAGAACGGAAATCTGCACAACCACAAGAATCAAAGAAAGCATTGAAGACAGACGTTCATGAGCATTTGAGTGCATCTGTGCAATCTCAATCTGCACAGGCCGGTTTAAAGAGTGAATGACCTCAAGAACATGGCAGAACGTTCCCGAACTCCAGCCACCATTATCACCACCGTAACTCATGCATCAACTTTAAAAACACCAAAGGAGAAGGACCTGAACGTGCCTGAAGTGGGAAATGATCCAATTTGTTTGTACCGGCAGAGTACGTTTGGTGCAAACCAATTAACAAGGTAAAACGTACATGTTAGTGTCTCTTTAAGAGCTCTAATTTCCAAATCCGATGCATTTTGATCACTAAACCACCGTCCCACCGAGTAGACCTACATTAGTCGTTCAGGATAGTAATCATTATTGACAAATACTGAGCTTGCCTTTTAGGGGTTGAAAAGTTATGAAACTGGTTACTTATTTTGCTTTAACCTTCATCTAAGCACAACCTTTAAATGGTATTTTGGTTCCTCCTCCAAATTTCAACAAACACAATCAAGCTGTTGGGTTGCCAGTCTTTAAAAAAAGCTTGGCAGCAAACTTGTTCAATGTCACACCAATGAAGGAGATTTCACTGCAATCCAAAGTATTTTCTCAATTCTAAAGCACTCAACTGTTTTTAATGCAAGAATTGCGTGATCTCATGGAAAGCTGGCTGAAGTCAGGGGTTCATGCGACTTATCTAAAAAGTGTCATTTTCACGATCCACAGAGTCTTAGTTATCGTTCTGGAATTATAAAATAAAACTAGGTGCATTAAAGGTCAGAGGATCTACTCTATATATCTCACGGTGAGCATGCATGTGTGTCCATGTTTAAGAATGGTCTCCATTGGCGCTGTCTCCATCGTCCTCTCCTTCCTCCTGCTCACCTTCCTCTTCCTCCTCATCATCCTCCCTTCCTCGACTCTTGATCTGCAAACCAAAAGCGACGGGTGAATACGAGCGAGTCGATACATGATTTCTGACGCTGTTGTTTGTCGTTCACTCACCTCCTCTTCCTCCAGCAGGTCTCCCTCATCCTCGTAGTCGTTCATTTCTGTGCTCTCGCGCTCTTTCTTGCCGCTGGAGTGCTGCGGTGAGACTTCATCTGGTTTAGTGCTCTTCACCTCTGTGCAGTAATGTGAGGAGAGCCTTTTTAGAAGTGGCTAGTTTGACTGGTTTTGTTCATTAGTGTGGCATGTACCTGATTTCTTGCTGTGGTCTCTCTCCATGCGCTCCAGGCTCTCCAGCAGATAGTCCACTTTGTGTTTAATCTGAGTCAGTTCCTTCTTAATGGTTTGTAGATCATCAGCTCTCACTGCACACAGACAGGGATATAAATGGTGGTCGCTAAACATCTCAGACATTGAGGTGCTTATTAGTCCAAATGTACACCGCGGTTCAAAAGTTGGCTGATAAGATTGTGACATTTGTGAAAGAAGTCTCTTCTGCTCACCAAAGCTGCATTTATTTGATCAAAAATAGATTTAAAACACTGAAATGTTATTACCGTTTAATATAACACTTTTCTATATGAATACATTTTAAAATGTAATTTATTTCAGAGACGCAAAGCTGAATTTTCAGCATCATAACTCTTCAGAGTCACATGATCTTCAGAAATCAGTCTAAGATGCTGATTTGCTACTCAAGAAACATTTCTGATTATTATCAATGTTGAAAACAATCATGATACACTGTCATTCAAACGTTTTATAAAAAGAAATGAATAATTTTTATAAAGGACACAATGTTTAAATTAAAGTGACAGTAAAGACAGTCTACTGTTACAAAAGACTATTTCAAATAAATGCTTTTCTTTTGAACTTTGTTCAAAGAATCCTGAAAAAAAAGCTAATATTTGCCAAATCATCAAACAGAAAACACTGAGAACTAAAAATATTACTACTAACCGAGCACCAAAATTATTAATGCAGCAAATCAGAATATTAGAATGATTTCTGAAGATCACATGACACCGAAGACTAGTAATGATGCTGAAAATTCAGCTTTATATCACAGGAATAATTAACATTTTACAATATCCGCAAACAGTTATTTTAAATTGTAATAATTTCACAATATTAATGTTTTTATTTCTGATCAAATAAATGCAGCCTTGAGCAGTATAGACTTTTCAAAAAGATGTAAAAAAAAATTATTCCAAACTTTTGACCCTGTAGTGTGCATATATCAGAACAATGTGGTTATAAAATGTCAATTTATGTATAATTATTTAGTAGTGAACAAAAACTTTAAATAAGAATAAAAAGGGAGGGATGTATCAAATGGAGAATATAGCACACAAACTGCGCCTCACTGGTACGGGACGTGCGCTGGCTGCTCTTAGAGGAGAAGCTGCTCTTGGTCCTGCGGCTGCCGCCGCTCACGCTCACTCGCGCCCGTTTGGAGGGAATCACCGCCCGCGAGAGAGGAGGAGGAGGAGGAGGGGGAACACGCGACGGGTACGAGTACATCCTGAAAACACACACTCAGATTAACACACACGTTCCTGGAATCGTGCAATCCCAGTTCAGACAGACATTAAAAGCCTTTAATGAATAATAATAAAAAAGCTCTTTGCAAAGCGTTTGATCAGTGAACCTGGAAGCGAGCTCACCTGTCATAGTAATCTCTCTGAAAGTCATAGTCCAGATCAAATGAAGAACTGTTGGAGGAGAAAGCAATTGAAGAATTAACAGGGGTGAAAATACTTGTACATAAAAATAAAAAAAATATATATAATAAACTATTAAATACAAACCTGTACATATCTCCTGCAGAGCGCTTAATAGTGTTTGGCCGATGGGGTTTTGGCTCACCAGCCAGATTAATATCTGAAAAAGCAGAAAGATTGAACACGCATGAAAAAAAAAGATAGATAAAGATAAAAGATATCACCTAGTAGTCACGAAATTGGTTGAAAGCATCAGCAAAATTGATAAAATGAATTTTTTAAAAATGGTGCTCATGCATAAGCATGTATCTTAAGGCATCCTAAACCTTACAGAATATTTCTTAGAGGACCAATCACTCTCGAGCAACCGAAGGTTAACAATCCCTACAAATAATGCCGTATTTACAAGTTTAGGGCACAAAATAGCAACACAACTTCGGAAATCCTGGACTTTCTTTGAGCTTCTACTTTGAGTTAAGACCACGTCAAATTAAAGATATTAGGCAGAAATGTCCTGATTTTTCAATCCACTATCCATATCAGGCTAAATATTGCAACACATCAAGACCACAACTAACTATAACTGACTGACTAACTAAAATACTGGATACATTTTGCATCAAATAAATTACTGAGATTTAAGATTACGACTGTTTTTGCATTGTGCGAATAATACTTATTACTTAACACAATAATTTTATTTTCACAATGAAACAATGAGAATTTGATTGGAAGCATAAACTGTCATAAAAATTGTGACAATACAAAATAAAATAAAATCCTGCTTTTTTTTTTTTTAAGTAAAAATAATTCCTTTTGATTTTTGATGAACAAATTCTTGACAGGTTTTGTGAGATTAACCAAGGCCTGCACATATACCAAGACAGTTCACTCACATTACCACGAATGGAAGAAAGTATAATGCAGAATGACAAAATAAGTCCCGCCTTCTAAATAAAACAACCAATCTCCTATTGGTTAAGTCATTGCATTATTGCAGCTGCCATTATTATCTTACTTCAGAAACAGACCTATGCTTGGGATTACACATGCGCAAATTTAGTTGACGATTTGAAATGTGCCATTTAAATGTTCAGTTTGGCCTGCAGATTTCAGTATTTCCCCATTCAAGTAGAACGAGTTGGTCTTGCATGTTTGGAGGCATTGTAAATATGGCCGCCAAGACCATTGACTTACCTTAAAAAAAGGACTTTGAATTAGCTTAAATAGGAAAAGCCCTTCAAATAATTGAAACATCCTTGGAAAACGAAGGTAAGAAATTAATCTCCAATGACCTGCATCAATGAGATCTTCACAGTGGGACGTCACTCTACTTACCGAGCACCTGTCCGACGATCATCCGCCCGTCTTCGCCAGCAACAGCAGCTCTGGCGTTCCTCTCGTTGACGTACTGGACGAAGGCGAAGCCTTTGTGCACAGAGCAGCCCACGATCTTCCCATACTTACTGAAGATGGCCTCCACGTCAGCCTTGGTCACCAGCATGGTGTTGAGGTTCCCGATGAAGACCCGGGAGTTCAGGGAACGCGGATCCGTCTTGTTGGTGACATTGCTGGCCATCAGGCTGCTGGTTGTGGGGGAAAGTCTGGGCAAAAAGAGAGGAATAGAGGGGTGCAGAAGATCGACAGAGACAGGAAGGACAAATGAGAAATTAGCGTGTCGATAACATCACCGGCCTCCATAACTACATTTCCATCCAAAATTGCAAAGTTAACATAAAACGGTGTATCACATGAAACATTTGCAAATAAAGCACAGTTTCCAGTCCATATGTTCAAGAGAACAGAATCTTCACTTCCTGGTAAACTGGTGCAATATATCCGTAATAAAAATGGACGTTGGTGCAAATGCAACAGATGAAACGTATTAACAATCGTTGCCATGTAATCTTGGTCTAATGTGTGGGAATGCAATGGTTTGAAACCGTTCTAGGAGGTAAATATACCAAATTATTTTGATTAGACTTTGCACAGCCATTTCAGAATTACTCTATATTTTAGATGGTGTGTAATGCGATTGGTCCACTGGTTAGTCCAGTTATCCAATCCTGTGATTGGATGTTTTTGTGCATCAAGGGATTTGTTCGATACATGCATTTCTATTGGAGGTTATGTGCACGACTTCTAATTGTACTAAAAAAAAAAAACTTCAATTGAGCACTTTTTTTTTTTTGTGCATTAAGATTTTACATGCATGCGACTTTAAACAATTATCTGATTTTGTCATCCAATCCTGTGATTGGATGTTTTTGTGCATCAAGGGATTTGTTCGATACATGCATTTCTATTGGAGGTTATGTGCACGACTTCTAATTGTACTAAAAAAAAAAAACTTCAATTGAGCACTTTTTTTTTTGTGCATTAAGATTTTACATGCATGCGACTTTAAACAATTATCTGATTTTGCATAAAAATACATGGATGGAAACAGCTAGTGAGACCGGATTCGTTCTGGAAATCTAGTCAACATGAAACAGTATTTGCAACCCATTTTTCTTTCATAATAGCATTTACTGATAAATTACTTGCAATAAGACAAATATGTATTATTAAAGTAAATGGGGCCAATTTTGGTTTCACATGGACTTTCTCTGTTTAAAATGGAATCACATGAAAATTACAGCCTAGATCAATGCTTAAACATTTCCAATTACTCCACTATTATGAACATTACCAAAGAACAAGGCTTTTGAGTGAACAAACATGAAGATATACGCAGTTCGTAACAATCAAAATAAAATAATTTACATTCGTTTCATAGTTATATCAACTAATATGTTTAAAATAAGAGCCACGGCAGTCATATGAAGCTTCCCTGTGCTATAATGTGCATAGCTATGCATTTAAAATCAAGAGATTCATGAGTGTATGTTGTAGTCTTATGCAGTTTGTTGGCCAAATGCGCCACAGGGGACGGCGTTCACATCTGTATGCTGGGTGGGAAATGTGGTAATGTATGACCTGCTGAGACATCACACTTGTAAACTAAAATGCGGAAGTGAAACTAAATGCCTACTGCATTCTAGCTTAAATATAGAGGCCTTATAGTATTGGTTTATGGGTATGACAAGAGCAAAATGTGAAGAAATGCACTAACAAGTGAATTTACTGAGGAAAATGTATCTGGTTATGTGTGTGTGTGGATCATTTTCTGTGCTTACTACACGTTTAAAGGTAAACTGGTATGTTTAAGCTGGACTGGTCAGTGTTTTGGAGGTATTTTTGGACACTTGGGACACGTGGCTACCTGACCGCCACATAACGTGCACGTTGAGATATTTAAGTGTGCTGAGGGGGATGTTGGGGGTTGAATAGTCAGAACTCACTCCATTCTGTCTGTAATTCAGGCCGAGTCGTCTGTCTGCCTGATTCTGTTGGAGAGAAGAGGGTTGTTATTGGACACCGTTGAGCTGCTGCTCAGCAGTGCATTGTGGGTGAAAGTCGTACTGCGTGGGGGGGTGATGTAACCCACCAGACTTTCACGGACATCACACCAATCTCAACACTTTCCCAAGGTCAAACAAGCAGGCTACTGTTCAGATGCTGCCACCCAGTGGTTGGTATACACAACGTGAAGCAAAGAAAATGGACTCCAGACAAATATCCCAAAGTGAAAAAAGATCAGCCATGACACCATAATATTATATAAACCCACTTAATGTCACATGATCCCCATCTAAAACCCTTTCATTTCAAAGTGTCAAATAGAGTGACGTTTCCCAGTCATGTGACGCAATCAAATCCTGCGCTAATGGAAAAAATTTAATAAACTCACATTGCCACCAACAGATTAAAAAGGTCTATCAAACGATGCCATCGGCACAGCTTAAGACGCACCATTAAGTTTGCTTTACCGCTGAGCAAAAAGATGAATATCAGTGTGTCTGTAGGAAATTTTAACTTTATATGGATGAAAGAGGGTGAAACAGTCACTATGGACCAATTATAGAGCGAGTCAGAGGTCTACGCAAATTAAAATATCCTCAGGCACCATGCTAGATATCAGAACAATAAACATGAATTTAAGGAAAATTAGGCCCTGTATGTTTCTATAACATAATAAGTTGCACAATAACAGCTACCTTTGCTTCAAGTTAAAGCAATTTTAGTCAAGACTATTTCTCAATATTTCAATTATAGTACAGAATTATTCTATAAAGTCAAGATTATGTTGCAGCTACCATTGTTTTCACCACTGCCAATTGAAGATTCAATGGCGTAAATGTGGGTATTTTAGAATACATTTTAATGCCATTTAATGGAAAAACAATGAGTTTAAAATATGAAATTTAGATGTTTGTTCTTGCTCTTACAACAAATTTACCATGGCAAGATGAAGACTCATTTGCACTCATCCAGAACACAACTGTACATGGACAGAAAATGTGTCTAAATGACACATACTTAAAAAAAAAATACAGCCTAGATCAATACTTAAACATTTCCAATTACTCCACTATTATGAACATTACCAAAGAACAAGGCTTTTGAGTGAACAAACATGAAGATATACGCAGTTCGTAACAATCAAAATAAAATAATTTACATTCGTTTCATAGTTATATCAACTAATATGTTTAAAATAAGAGCCACGGCAGTCATATGAAGCTTCCCTGTGCTATAATGTGCATAGCTATGCATTTAAAATCAAGAGATTCATGAGTGTATGTTGTAGTCTTATGCAGTTTGTGCTTAAACATTTCCAATTACTCCACTATTATGAACATTACCAAAGAACAAGGCTTTTGAGTGAACAAACATGAAGATATACGCAGTTCGTAACAATCAAAATAAAATAATTTACATTCGTTTCATAAAGTTATATCAACTAATATGTTTAAAATAAGAGCCACGGCAGTCATATGAAGCTTCCCTGTGCTATAATGTGCATAGCTATGCATTTGAAATCAAGAGATTCATGAGTGTATGTTGTAGTCTTATGCAGTTTGTTGGCCAAATGCGCCACAGGGGACGGCGTTCACATCTGTATGCTGGGTGGGAAATGTGGTAATGTATGACCTGCTGAGACATCACACTTGTAAACTAAAATGCGGAAGTGAAACTAAATGCCTACTGCATTCTAGCTTAAATATAGAGGCCTTATAGTATTGGTTTATGGGTATGACAAGAGCAAAATGTGAAGAAATGCACTAACAAGTGTTGCACTCATCCAGAACACAACTGTACATGGACAGAAAATGTGTCTAAATGACACATACTTAAAAAAAAAAAAACAACTAGTCAACATTTGAAGTGGATCAAAAAAAAGTTCAAAGTAGTCCTAAGACAAGAACGCATTTTGGTTTCAGGTTTTAGGACAACTCTGATGAAAGGTTTTGATCCACTTCAAATATTGACTAGTGTAGTAGACATAAAATTATAATTTTCCTGTATATTACATTACCATTAAACCAAAAATAAGGCTAGACCTCAGTGTCAAAAACTGGGATTCTCTCTAGGAGTGGTTTAGCAAAATGTAGCGTGTCTTTGAACGTTAAGCCTCTGAAGCGTGTGGTTTAGTGTTCTGCTGGCCTGTTTGCTCAAGCTTATTTAGACCATGAACGTTTTTCTAATTGTACTAAAGAAAAAAAAAATCCACAAGACTACTAATAAAGTATTTGTTACTCTACGGCAGTTTTAAAGGTGATAGAAGTAGGTAAAGGCTACACACAGCAAATGGGAGGCTAGTCTGAATGAAACACTTTTCAGGAAGATTGGTGCAGAAGTGGAGAATAAAAGAAAAAACAACTTACGGATTGACGTGGGTCAAAAAAGCTGCCTCAAACTACAAAAAAAAAAAAAAAAAAGCAAAATGAATAAAATCAGAAATTAACATCTTTTGCTCCCTAAAGCAGGGAAACGTTTTAGTTTTTTTACTTTTTTACTCTTTAGGGTTGAGACCTGAAACCTCCATGACAGGACTAATCTTTCTGAGACAAATTTGGTGTAAAATTTGGACTTGAGAATAGAATAGAAGTGTGACCTGCATGAATTTAAAGAGCTAAATGTGTGTGTTGTATGCAAAGGCATTAAAGGAATGGTTCACCCAAAACTGAAAAAAGCAAAATGAATAAAATCAGAAATTAACATCTTTTGCTCCCTAAAGCAGGGAAACGTTTTAGTTTTTTTACAACCGAGATCTTTAGGGTTGAGACCTGAAACCTCCATGACAGGACTAATCTTTCTGAGACAAATTTGGTGTAAAATTTGGACTTGAGAATAGAATAGAAGTGTGACCTGCATGAATTTAAAGAGCTAAATGTGTGTGTTGTATGCAAAGGCATTAAAGGAATGGTTCACCCAAAACTGAAAATTCTGTCATTAATTACTCACCCTCGTGTCGTTCCAAACCTATAAGACCTTCGTTCATCTTCGGAACACAAATTAAGATATTTTTGATGAATTCTGGCAGATCTCTGACCCTCCCATAGACAGCAAGGGTCCTTACACGATCAACGTCCAGAAACGTAGCAAGGAGATCGGTAAAATAATCTGTGTGAAATCAGCGGTTCAACCGCAATTTTACAAAGCTACGAGAATACTTTGTGCACAAAAGAAAAAAAAAAAACGACTTTATTCAACAATTTGTCTCCGCCATTTTGGAGAATATCCACTGAACGCAAACAGCGTATGCTATTCTCTGTCAGCCGCAACGCACGGATACTTTTTCTACGTTGTTTGTGCTGTGATTTGAACGAAAACAACGTATCCGTGCGGCTGACAGAGAATAGCATACGCTGTTTGCGTTCAGCCGATACTCTCTAAAATGGCGCCAGGGAGACGTATTGTTGAATAAAGTCGGGTTTTTTTGTGCACAAAAAGTATTCTCGCAGCTTCATAATATTACAGGTGAGCCCCTGATGTCACTTGGATTATTTTACCGATCTCCTTGCTACGTTTCTGGACGTTGATCGTGTAAGGACCCTTGCTGTCTATGGAGGGTTAGAGAGCTGCCAGAATGCATAAAAAATATCTTAATTTTTGTTCTGAAGATGAACGACGGTCTTACGGGTTTGGAACGACACGAGGGCGAGTAATTAATGACAGAATTGTCATTTTGGGGTGAACTAACCCTTTAACATCAGCATGTGGGGTTCAGTCTAGACCAGGGTTTCCCGAAGCGTGGGCTGCATATTTTGCGACAAATCATTCACACACAAACACAAAGGCATTGCAATGCAACAACACTGGATGTTTTTTGTGCACAAAAAGTATTCTCGCAGCTTCATAATATTACAGGTGAGCCCCTGATGTCACATGGATTATTTTACCGATCTCCTTGCTACGTTTCTGGACGTTGATCGTGTAAGGACCCTTGCTGTCTATGGAGGGTTAGAGAGCTGCCAGAATGCATAAAAAATATCTTAATTTTTGTTCTGAAGATGAACGACGGTCTTACGGGTTTGGAACGACACGAGGGCGAGTAATTAATGACAGAATTGTCATTTTGGGGTGAACTAACCCTTTAACATCAGCATGTGGGGTTCAGTCTAGACCAGGGTTTCCCGAAGCGTGGGCTGCATATTTTGCGACAAATCATTCACACACAAACACAAAGGCATTGCAATGCAACAACACTGCATCACGCCCATGTCATTAAACACTGTTCTTACTACAGCTGTAGTGATGTTGCATTTTGCTGCTTTGTAGATTAAAATGGGAAATGGGTCCAGTCTTACTTCACACTTGCTTGTGGTGTAAAAGTAAATTACAATATGTACACAATCATTTATATATTTCCCCCCTTGCATTCTATAATCAAATTGTTGTTCTTGTTCAAATAAAAACCATACGATTAAACATTAAAGTGAAAGTGATGGAGATCACGCCCATGTCATTAAACACTGTTCTTACTACAGCTGTAGTGATGTTGCATTTTGCTGCTTTGTAGATTAAAATGGGAAATGGGTCCAGTCTTACTTCACACTTGCTTGTGGTGTAAAAGTAAATTACAATATGTACACAATCATTTATATATTTCCCCCCTTGCATTCTATAATCAAATTGTTTTTCTTGTTCAAATAAAAACCATACGATTAAACATTAAAGTGAAAGTGATGGATAGGTTGGTTATCCATACCCAATATATAGGCGCATGTACGATTCTTATGTTTGGGAACCCATGATCTACACACATATTACAGCTAAAAACGCAATATGATCCTGATGTGTGCCTATAGTGGGGAACTGTGAGGGGAACATGATTTGGTGCATTTCACATACAAGATACCCATTTACTGAAGACAAAATAAGAAACACTTGCATTTTCAACATCAAGCACAGAAAGACCAAGCTAAACCAAACCACTTTCTAATGTGAAATTGCATTGAAAAAAAACTGTTCAAGACACATTATCAGTCGGTGTTGGGGAGGAGGGGGCAAACATAGCATTCTCATTTCTTCAGACATTCTACAACACAACTAGAAGAGTTGCATGGGCTGAATTCTGGATTACATACAAATATGATATTATTTTGCACACATACAGCATGGGGGCACTTGAGCAAAGGCAGTAATGGTGTCTTTGACCCACTGGGCCTTCTTCAAACATGTCTTTAATATTAATGCAACCAGCTCAATTCAGCATTCTTGATGTACTTTTAATGGAAAGATTACCGTTTAGCTACATGATTCAAATGTAAAACGTGTTAAACGGTCCATGCATTGATATAAATGATTGCATGAGACAGAAAACGTGTTTTCTCAGTCCATTAAAAGTGCCGAGACAATTCAAAACCTGCAAAAACGTCGCCTGAAAAATCAATCGCCACATTCAAAGCAACGCGCCTCAAAAATACCGCCCAAATAATCGCATTAAAAAGGACAAGCTCAGTCCAAATGTCTACAGCCGAATAAAAACAGTCTGTCACGTTAAAAATGGACATAAAACGCGTTATATTCTGAATCCTGAACATGGAGGGAAAAACGACCCCATCTTGAAAACACAACCAGCGGTCCATACGAGCCATTTCCTCCACATTACCTTCAAAAAATCAAACAAACCAACTGTGCTGCAAAAATGGGGTGAAAAATAACTCCTACTTTGAAAAATGAAATAAAAATCGTGCGGTCCTCTCAAAGCAAATACGCGGTTCACTGCGCTACCGTCACAAAATGTACGCCACCAAAGCCAAGCAGAAAACGACCAGAAAAATGCATTAAAAATAAAAAAAAAAAAAAACTATGAAAGTTACTGAACATCTACTTAAAACAAAGCCATTGAATGATAATTGCTAATCACAATTTTATTGATGAACATAATTTATTTGAAATTCTGACTCAGTACAGGAAATTATGGCAAGAGGAATGCTAAACTGCTAACAGTTTATTGTACTTTATACAACGGTATTGTTAATGTAATGTAAAACACATAAAGTAAGCAAGTCATGCATTGTGATGTTCTAACGATGCATGGGGTAAGTCGTCACAATGGAAACTAAAATGTTTTTCAGCAAACAATTCATGAACAGCAACAACTCAGCATGCAAAATCCCTGCTTTTGACTCAAAACTTAAAATGTACGACTATTCGTGACAGTTGCTAGCTAACTTACCAACAATGCAAAAGAATTGACAAAAAGAAAAGAAAAAAAGATGCTACTTCAAGTTTTGCTTCCATAATCAAAGTTAACAAGCTAACACGTCAATGAGCTACACTTTTAGAGGAAATCAGGATTGGAGATCACCACTTCAGCTTTCGGGAGTGACAACCTGCAACAAATCAATCATTCATTTCTGTGAATATTTCCCAATTGTATTTGAATGCGACTAAAAAATGTAGTAACATTTAGAAGAGGCTACCCTTCTTGTCGCTCGTCTTGCTGCGTTGGCGTGGACGAGTGAAGTCAAAGTGCAAAGACGACGATGACGACGAGTCAGGAGTCTTCAAAACCTCTTCAAGTTTCACCTGCTCCTGATTCTCCTGCGGTGAAAGAAAGTAATACATTCTTAAAATTGACAAATTTGGTGAAAATTTGCTGTAAATGGTATATTTGGTTCTCTTTCTCCAAAATATAAACACTTTTCCGTTGAGAACTTGTGCATTTGGTGGATAAAGTATTATTTAAAGACCCAATGTCTAAACTTAACAACTACCTTAATAGCTATTAATAAGCAGCAAATTGGGAGTTTATTGAGGCGAAACTCATGATTCATTTTGTTAATAGTGAGAATTGGACATTAAAGGTGCAATATGTAATTATTATTATTTTTTAAAATATCCAAAAACCACTAGAACAGTGTTATATATTTCCTGACTTGTGTACTTACATTATCCCAAATGTTTCAAAGAATGTTTAAATCCAGAGAAATAAGCTATTTTATCTAGTGGCACGGACCGTGTCCATAGTGTCATCGTGTCGCCTGCCAATGACGTCCTAACCCCTCGATTTCAACACCAAATACGCTTTAATATGTTATGTGTTTTATTATACAGGTGACGACCACACAGAGTAGCATTATAACAGAACTTTCGAACGTATCTAGTAGGGCTGCACGATTAATCGAATGCGATTGTCGTGCGCATTTTGTTAGTAAAGCCGGTTCTGTAATCCGCAGGAAATCATCATCACGTGCTTTCAGATGGAGCAGCATTTACTACACAGAGCCGTAGTTCACTGACAAGCTACGCAAAAAAAAAATTGCAGATGATTTTATTGGTGCGATTATGAAATTGAAAGAAATCATTGGCGATAATGACAGCTGTTTGTACTGCTTCTCAGTGAACTACGGCTCTGTGAAGTAAATGCTGCTCCGTCTGAAAGCATGTGAAAATACCACATTTAATAACATATTTTTACTCCAAACTCACTTCATAACGTCACTCCGATAAACCGTATATTGCCATAGTCATGTGTTTATTAGTCACGTTGAATCAATGAAAGCAGTTGAATCTTCTGTTTATTCAGCTGCAGCGATAGGCATTTTCTGGGTTTCTTCTGCGGGGCGTATTTGGAGTTTCTCTGGCCTTTGGATGGAGATTTACTGCTGATCACAGAACCGTGCTTCACTGAAAGATACGCATGACAATCACAGCTTCTGTCGAATCACGATCTCAATTCCATTTCGATTGATCGTGCAGCCCTAGTATCTAGTATGATAAAACAGCGCTGCTTTACCCCACATACTCACGACCGGAAGGAGCGGAAGCGCTCGACTGTGGCATAATAAAAGCTCCGCTGCTTTCCAGCCGTGTGTCACTCTCGTCTCTCTTTAGCAATTGCTTCAGCGGCCTTGTTTCACTTCGACAGCTTTCCGCCTCACTCTGCTTCATACTACGATGTTAATAAATCTTTAATACATTAGCTCATCCATGAACATGATTCCTGCCCGAGTCCTGTCAGATTGCATCAGATGTGGGGATTAAGACCACAACTCCCATTATTCCACACTCAGTCACGGCGTAATCAAATTACGCCTTTGTTTCTTTTGAATATGTGCCCTTTAATGGCGAAAACTTACTTATTGTACCTTTAAAAGAAAGTGTGACCAAATATACATAGTGTTAATATATAACTTTTAAGTACACATAAATTAACCTAGGAGGTAGCTAAATATCTGTTTACAAAAAAGTGTTTAAGGCCATTATTTATGAAAAGTGCCTGTTACTTACATCAGATGGGCTTTGTTGGAGTCTGGTTTTGAGTTTAGGTGTGTTTTGGCTGTGCTTCTCCTTCTCTCTCTCCCTCTGTTGAAGGATAGCACTGCGAGTGGCTCTGTACTCCAGAGCGAAGTCACTGAGAGTCTTACAAAACACCTCTGCACTCGTTTCTCTCACCATGGTACGCGAATAACCGAGGAAGAGCAGGAACGAGTGGAATCTAAATGCAAGATAAAACTAATTGTTGATTTGGCTAAATGAGGGTAAAAAAAAACTATTTGCATGTGGTTCAATGCAAATGTTTCAATGACAATTAGCTATGGCCTGTTGTTGCATTTTGTTTTAACCAACTCGTTTTACCTGTTGATGACTCTGCGGTGAACGGCTCGAAGCACCTTCAATCTCTCCCCGCAGTCTTTCAGAAACTGGGCAAGCCTCTGATGGAGCGTTGCCTCTTCTCCACCTTCCTCTTTTCTTCCTCCACATTTCTTCTTCTTCCCATCCTTCTCAAGTAGTCGCTTCACTGAAAGATACGCATGACAATCACAGCTTCTGTCGAATCACGATCTCAATTCCATTTCGATTGATCGTGCAGCCCTAGTATCTAGTATGATAAAACAGCGCTGCTTTACCCCACATACTCACGACCGGAAGGAGCGGAAGCGCTCGACTGTGGCATAATAAAAGCTCCGCTGCTTTCCAGCCGTGTGTCACTCTCGTCTCTCTTTAGCAATTGCTTCAGCGGCCTTGTTTCACTTCGACAGCTTTCCGCCTCACTCTGCTTCATACTACGATGTTAATAAATCTTTAATACATTAGCTCATCCATGAACATGATTCCTGCCCGAGTCCTGTCAGATTGCATCAGATGTGGGGATTAAGACCACAACTCCCATTATTCCACACTCAGTCACGGCGTAATCAAATTACGCCTTTGTTTCTTTTGAATATGTGCCCTTTAATGGCGAAAACTTACTTATTGTACCTTTAAAAGAAAGTGTGACCAAATATACATAGTGTTAATATATAACTTTTAAGTACACATAAATTAACCTAGGAGGTAGCTAAATATCTGTTTACAAAAAAGTGTTTAAGGCCATTATTTATGAAAAGTGCCTGTTACTTACATCAGATGGGCTTTGTTGGAGTCTGGTTTTGAGTTTAGGTGTGTTTTGGCTGTGCTTCTCCTTCTCTCTCTCCCTCTGTTGAAGGATAGCACTGCGAGTGGCTCTGTACTCCAGAGCGAAGTCACTGAGAGTCTTACAAAACACCTCTGCACTCGTTTCTCTCACCATGGTACGCGAATAACCGAGGAAGAGCAGGAACGAGTGGAATCTAAATGCAAGATAAAACTAATTGTTGATTTGGCTAAATGAGGGTAAAAAAAAACTATTTGCATGTGGTTCAATGCAAATGTTTCAATGACAATTAGCTATGGCCTGTTTTGGCATTTTGTGTTAACCAACTCGTTTTACCTGTTGATGACTCTGCGGTGAACGGCTCGAAGCACCTTCAATCTCTCCCCGCAGTCTTTCAGAAACTGGGCAAGCCTCTGATGGAGCGTTGCCTCTTCTCCACCTTCCTCTTTTCTTCCTCCACATTTCTTCTTCTTCCCATCCTTCTCAAGTAGTCGGAGTTGATCCCAGCATGCTTTGCAAAGCGATTCAAGCTGCGAGAGATTCAGCTGCACTTGTGTGTAGTCACACTAGCCGCCAGCGTGTGAATGTTTATCAGAGACAGGAAAAGAGGGATAAAGACAAGAGAAGGAAACACGATCAAACAGGATACAAATTAACTGGATATCATTCAAACCTGCCTGGATTCCCTGTTGAAAAAACAGCATATGCTGGTTAGGTATGTTTTGATGCTGGGATGCTGGTTTATGCTGTTCCTTTGCTGGTTAAAACTGGTCCGTTGCTGGTTTAAGCTGGTTCTTTGCTGGTTTATGCTGGTCATTTGCTAGTTTATGCTGTTCCTTTGCTGGTTAAAACTAGTCCTTTGCTGGTTTAAACTGGTTCTTTGCTGGTTTATGCTGTTCCATGCTGTTCCTTTGCTGGTTAAAACTGGTCCTTTGCTGGTTTAAGCTGGTTCTTTGCTGGTTTATGCTGGTCCTTTGCTGGTTTATGCTGTTCCTTTGCTGGTTAAAACTAGTCCTTTGCTGGTTTAAGCTGGTTCTTTGCTGGTTTATGCTGTTCCATGCTGGTTAAAACTGGTCCTTTGCTGGTTTAAGCTGGTTCTTTGCTGGTTTATGCTGGTCCTTTGCTGGTTAAAACTGGTTCTTTGCTGGTTTAAGCTGGTTCTTTGCTGGTTTATGCTGGTTTAAGTTGCTGAGCACATGACCAGCATAAACCAGCAAAGGACCAGCATAAACCAGCTTAAACCAGCAAAGGACCCGTTTAAACCAGCACATGACGAGCATAAACCAGCATAAACCAGCAAAGGGCCAGCATAAACCAGCAAAGGACCAGCATAAACCAGCAAAGGGCCAGCATAAACCAGCAAAGGACCAGTTTAAACCAGCACATGACCAGCATAAACCAGCAAAGGGCCAGCATAAACCAGCAAAGGACCAGTTTTAACCAGCAAAAGGACCAGCATAAACCAGCAAAGGGCCAGCATAAACCAGCATCCCAGCGTCAAAACATACCTAACCAGCATATGCTGTTTTTTTCAAGAGGGTTAACTCAGAAAAAAGATTATGCATTTTTACCAGTCAAAACTCTTGACGCAATATTATACCATTTCCATAGTTTAGAATTCTAATGAAGTAATCAAAACTAAATTAAAAAAGAATACTACTAATAAAGTGAGCTTGTATCTGTTTTGTCTAGATTCTAGCTCTGTTCACTCTGGATGCTCTTTCAACCAAGTTCATGAGGTAAATACATCGTAAAGATTTCTGGTTCATATAGTATCGGAAAATGTTAGCTGTTGAGCGAACGAGTCAGTTGTGAACATAGACTGTAAAAAAAGGATGACGCACCTTCACTCTCTTCCTTGGTTAAAGTAATGTGTTTATATTCCTATAGTTGTTATATTATCACAGCAACTACAGAATTACCACAACAGATTAATTCAAGTACTTTACTATAGTATGTATAAATTACTATAGTATTTTTTTCTTGTGGGTATTGCACAAAACATGCAAACATAGCCTCGTACCTTGCTGGCTTTTGTGACAGCAGTGATGTCGGAGAACAGATCAGAGGATTGTGGGTAAAGCTGGAGCAATAGCACACAAACGTGATGAAGCAGAGGCTGCCGGCCTTGTGTGTCTCTCACCTGAGAGAGTTTGCTCAGGTAACTCAACTCAAACCCCCTCGCCTGTGAAAAACACACACCATCATGCAACATGACTGCACACAGCCTTATACGCTCATCCTCACCTTACAGCCGTTCAGAAAGTTGCCGACGGCCAGCACAGTCGCAAGTATGCAGCGGAGTGTCTGATTGGCTGCCAGCTGCTCCATGGCAAGCTTCAGATGGAAGAGCGGCTCTGCGGATTCCTGTTTAGATGCATAAGCAAAGCGTGGAACAGGGCTGCACAAAAAACAAACACTACAAATGACCTGACATGACAGAAAACAGCAGTTCAGTTCTCTCGCCATCAGTTCATTTGTTTATCTCAGTTGATGATTTCATTCAAATAATGTCAAGCACTGTACCTGCCGGGACAGTTTTCCAGTACAGATTTGACTCATACAATGAACCTGAGCTCATGAGAATGCCTCAATAATATGATTTTAATGGAAAACCCAACGGTCAGTAAAACGATTGTATGAAAGTGTACACATGAGATCATACGAATTGTGACCCTGGACCATAAAACCAGTCATAAGGGTCCAATTTTTGAAATTGAGATTAATGCGTCATCTGAAAGCTGAATACATAAGCTTTCCATTGATGTGTGGTTTGTTAGGACAAAAGACAGGACAATGTTTGGCTGAGATACAACTATTTGAAAATCTGGAATCTGAGGGTGCAAAAAAATCTAAATACTGAAAAAATCTCCTTTAAAGTTGTCCAAATGAAGTTCTTAGCAATGCATATTACAATCAAAAATAAAGTTTTGATATATTTACGGTAGGAAATGTACAAAATATCTTTATGGAACATGATCTTTACTTAATATCCTAATGATTTTTGGCCTAAAAGAAAAATCGATCATTTTGACCCATACAGTGTTTTTTTTTTTTTTGGCTATTGCTACAAATATACCCCAGCGACTTAAAGGAACACTCCACTATTTTTGAAAATAGGCTCATTTTCCAACTCCTCTAGAGTTAAACAGTTGAGTTTGACCGTTTTCGAATCCATTCAGCCGATCTCCGGGTCTGGCGGTAGCACTTTTAGCTGTAGCTTAGCATAGATCATTGAATCTGATTAGACCGTTAGCATCTCGCTCAAAAATGACCAAAGAGTTTCTATATTTTTCCTATTTAAATCTTGACTCTTCTGTAGTTGGGTCATTCTATGGAAACGTCCACTTTTCTGTCCCTAGCCTTTACAGAAATATTACACTTGAAAAATACTTTAGGGTTACAGTTTTTTTATATTTTAAAATAAAACAATGTGTTATTTGAACAATAACACCTTCTTGAGCCATCAATGTGGCAATATTTATTTTTTATTAATTATAAAGAATTCCAAGCACGACAAAACTGCTCGTCCCCACAGCCATGTACAGAGGAAAAGTGCTTTATTTTGAGGTCAAAAACAGGGTTTTCTACCATTTAAAATGCAATGATGTATTCATAACTATCAAATATATGATGTAAATGACATAAAAAAACTAAATGCCAAATAAATATTATAAAATATATAATGAAAGTAGTGGTCCCCTGGAGTTGTGTCACTGGTGTTACCGTTTAACAAAAATCTTTTATTTTGAAATAAAAATCACACTGATGACTTCCTTCCTCACAT